GAGGAGCACACAGGAAGATTCCTGAAGCAAAACAGGTTGCGATAAATATTAACAATCTGTTTGTGTACATTTTCAGGAAGATCAGTCCGACGAAAGACCTTTACCAGCCCTAAACAAAAGGTGATAAATAGAAAATACAAAGCAATAAAAAGAAAAATAATTTATACACATTTACGCCAATTATTATGCTTTTCACTGAGCAAACTCGAACTCATAAACGCATTGTTTTTGTTGTTATCGCAGTAAACCAGCAGAAGAGGACGAAGAAGGTAAAAAGGAAACACAGTCAACTCTGTCATAATCGACCACCTCGGGATCAGGAAAAAGTGGTCGCTTACGAGAGATGGTCGCTTACGAGAAAGTTTATTTTTACAGAGTTTATATGGGAAACTGAACAAAACGAGAATTTAAAAGGTGGTCGCTTACGGTAGATAGTGGTCGTTCAAAGAGAGTTAACTGTAATAATTTTTTTTAAAGGAATTAAAATGGCATGATTTTCGAAATCGCTAGGGACCCGTTTGTGGTCAGCTCATCTTAGTGTATGGAATAAAAGTTTACAAGTTAATTCTTTAGGATTATTCTCAAGGATCAAAATGACCACAAACGGGTCCCTAGCGATTTGGAAAATCATGCCATTTTAATTCCATTAAAAAATATATATTACAGTTAACTCTCTTTGAACGACCACTCTAGTAAGCGACCATCTCTCGTAAGCGACCACTTTTTCCTTATCCCGAGGTGGTCGATTATGACAGAGTTGACTGTATTTATGCCTCCTTGAAGGATAAAATAAAATTTATTATATTTTTTAAATTGCCCGAAAAATTCCATCAAAAATCGCCAGTGTAAACTGACCTGAAAACACTCGTTCACTTGGAAGAAATTGCGCAAAACGGCAATAACAAAACGATAGAGGACATGAAATGATACAAAATTATTTATCACACATATAAGATATTTTATTAATACCAAAATAATGCTAACTTGTTTGTTTATATTTATTGTAGACACTGAAAACAGTCCACTTTCATCAGGTAAATGATCAAACTATGTTTCTTATCTTCCTCTATGATTTTGGAATTAAACTATGCAAGATATTTTTGCTGAAAATAGTATTCATTAATTTACAGATGGACCCGAGCCATTAAAAGATAACGATGCTCGTATTGCTTCATCGGCAATAGCTGTTTTTGGCGAACACCTGGTAATAATTACATGCATTTTATTATTATAATAATAATGATTAATCAATTATTAATGACGATGATGATGAAAAAATTATTAATCCATAACGATTGATTAAATAATATTTACGAGGTGGGAAATTATAAAAATGGCTTTAAAAATCAATCTTTATTCATAAAAATGTTTATACTTATTAAAGAAAAAAGAATAAAAAAGAGAAAGCCTTGAAAAGTCTCAAAAAATGAAGGASAAAAATTTACGGCTTCATAAGGGCTCGAACCGCGAACCACGCAATACATCGACACCGCCGTGAAAGAAACACAACTGTTGAGCCTGGGCGCCCTGTGGTATAAGCAGCAAACTGKAAAGTGGAGAGAGTACTGGAACTTGAGCTTCTTTCATCGCTTTTTCAGTTCAAGATGTCATCATTTCTCAGCCTATTACTTACTGATTGGTGCAATAACAAAGCCCCTTCTATTTGTTAAATCTTAGTATTATATTTTATCTACCAGGTCCAGTGCGCTTACTCTAAACAGTGGAAATTTCGTCAAGAAGCCATGGAGCAACTTGACAAAGAAATGACTTCTGAATCGCCAGAACTGTCAAATGATCAAGATCCGAGGTCCGTTTCTAGGGCTACAGTATTTCTCGTCAAGAAAGGAATCAAAGAAAAAGTCCAGTCTGTAAGCACGATGAATATGTGTGCATTGAAAAAAATAAGCGTTATATTACACGAAAATTTGTTGTTGTTTTTCTCTAGGTATTTTTGTCTTGTTTGACAGTTCTTAGGTCACTGCTTCTAACCTACATCCCTAAACACAAGTAAGGATTTTCTATCATTCAGTTGTATTTGTTTATTCGTTATTGTTGCAGATGTTCTTTTATCGTTTAATTTGTGTCTTTTTGACTCATCTGTTTGTTCGCCATTTTGTTCTTTACTTACAGACTTGGTAAAGGCGAGACTCAACAGGTTTTGGAGAAGGTAGGTGCTTGATACATTAGCAGAAAATATATGAATAACATGTTTTCAAATGGAGTTTATTAATCCCTTTTATTTCAATAGGTTGTCCCAGCACTAGTGTTGAAGTCTGGAGAAATGGTATGCAATACAAAATCCTCATTCTTATAATGTCAAAGTATTTTCGTATTCAAATACTGCGTGAAATGGATTGTTGTTCGCCATATCACCGCTCTAAGATACGATTTCACGCGACTATGCCGGGTCAAAACTTCACCGCTCAGAGTACAGTCTCTCTCGTTGTCCTCGTCGAGAACTATCACAAGAGAGACTCTGGTAGCAGGAAAGCAGTTTTGATTTTCATTAGAATCGTCATTTAAATTCTAAGGCCACTCTTCGAGGAATCAAATACTAACACTGTATTTTTCGTTGTGGAAAATCATAATGTTTCTTATCATTTTTTGGAATACAGGTATTATTTTTCTTATGTCTTTGATCGTTTGTTTGTTTGTTTACTAGACTCCAAGAAGCCGCGAAGCTGCTATAGATATGATTATAGAAATAGCGAAATACGAAGACGCACTGGTAAGATTGATAACAAAAACAGTACATATGTAAATGAACAAACATCCATCCAATATTTTTGATACCCCATCCGACAACATCGAACATCCAACACCATCAAACAAGATGGGCAAACACCTTCATACTCCATCCAACATGTTTCATGATCCATCCAACAACATCTAACACCATCAAACAAGATGGGCAAACACCTTCAAACTCCATCCAACATGTTTAATATCCCATCCAACACCATCAAACAAAGCGGCATAGCAACAGAATGTTGTGTTTCCCTTGCAATACTGCATGTTCTTTGGTAATTCAACAAGTCCTATTTGAACGCATTTTTTTTCCAGCCATTAGGAATTGTTCCTGATGTTGTAACTCAACCAATTAAACGCAAACCACCAGTAAGTCTCTTCTTAATTCGAAAAAAATTGAATAGATTTGTTACTTACATTACTAAACTATCATTACCATCTTTAGACGCCGTGGCGTTTACTGAAAAGCAAGCTAGAAACTATTGAAAAGCTTCTTGGTGTTCTGGAATTGGATAAAAATAAACCAGGGTGAGTATGACAATGAAACCCCAGGCCCCCCGACACCCCGACACCCGGGGAGGGCGGGCAATTGACGCAAAATAATCGGGGATTTAACAGTGTTGCAGGATCAATCCATGTCAATGCCGTGGAATAACGTCTATATCCAAGAAAATTATAACTGTTTAGCTGTCTCTTTTTGTTTATAAAGGCCGCGAAAAGCCGTAACACTTTGAAATTAAAGTCCCCTCAGTGGAATTGTCCTACAGGGTTTTAATTGACTGACATCATGATATTGATGAAATGATATCATAGCATACTTTGCTATTTTGTAGGTCTTTGCATTCAGCATCAATAATGCAGGTATGTTATYATGTTAAATCCTATAAAATCATAAAGTCTTCACTTAACGATGCTGAATTTCAAGGTGGTTGCTGTATATCGAAGCAAAGTTTATATACATGTACTGTTATGTCAATCCGTGACAATAATTCTTCATGCCATACTCATCTTCAAACATTATTCTTTCATATACTCGGCCTTAACCAATAATTCTTCATATCATCAACCAATATATTTTCATATCACTCTCGTCCTATGCTCAGTCTCCAGCCGTCGGGATTTCGTGCGCCCGCGATACTCTCTCCCCTGACGGCTGGGCGCATGGGGTTCAAAACGTGTCGCGCATGTCCGTGACGTTTTTGTGTAATTAGCATATTATGACGTAACGGAAGTGAATTTTTCAGTGAACGGAAGTGAAATATCTGACAACAGCCGTAAAGGTTTTGCTACAAGGCGGGAAATTATGTGAAATGAAAACTTCGCGAAGTAGCGATATAATGTAATAGTTAGCGCTTTAAAAAAGAGAAAGGAATGGAAATTACCCCAAGTAAAACATGTGCAGGGTTTAATAATCCAAATGGATGTATTATCTGCCAGAAAAACGAGCAAAATACACTAGTGGCGCTGTTTGAAAAATAAGAGATTTGCCCGAGCCAGTATAGGAAGAATAACAAGGACATCTTTTCCAAGAACAATCTCTTTAAGAGNCAACTAATATTTTTTCATATCAACAATATTTTTTCATATCATACTCGTCCTCAACCAATAATTCTTCATATCATACTTATCTTCAACCGATATTTTTTCATATCAGCTCGTCCTCAACTAATAATTCTTCATAACATCCTGATCTTCAACCAATATTTTTTCATATCATACTCGTCCTCAACCAATGAATATTTGATATGATTATTTTCTTATTTTACGCCCCAATATAGGTAACAGTGACTGCTTTGGACCATAGCCATGGTGAAGTGAGGGACGCAGCAGTAAATTTAATCTTTCTAATGTACAAAAAGGTACGAAAAGTCGTTTTGTTATMATTTTTTCGCGCAGAATCACACTTTTGGGGTCTTCGATGCAAATTTGTAAGGCGGGAGCTCAATATTTCTTTGTTTGCTTAACATTTGAAGGTCGGAGAGCCTATTAAATCATACCTGCCGGCCGACGAACCTTCGACAAGAAAGAGTCCTTTATACCGATCAATATTCGATGGCTTTGATAAAATCGATGGGAAACCGACTGAATCGGAAAGACGAGTAAGTATCGATTGACAAATACACAAGCAAGCTACAAATATATCGCGAAACCATACGCTTGTGAAAATTAGAATATATCTTAAATGAAATCAAAATCTTACTTTGAAATATCTGGACCTATCTTCTTAATCGGAATGTTGAAAGATATCCTTGTAAAACCGATGGATGGAAATGGATTATTAAGGGACATTTGACTTCACATCAAACTGACTGATTTTTCATATGTGAAAAGTCAAGCCATGACCGCGATGCATGCTGGTGGCTACGGCCCGATGCAGAATGTAAATAATTGAGCTTAGGGAGGGGAGGGTGGGGTACTGATCGTGTCACATCTTTTTTTAAGAATATATGACTTCGTTAAGGATAAATTACGCTTTCTAATTACAGGCACAAGCTAAACTCGACCGTAAGCAAGCAGAGAAAACCAAACAAGCCGAGGTAATGTACCGACATCCTAAAACAACTCGATTTCTTGGAACATAGTCGTTTTCATTTGATCACAAAAGATTTTCTAAGACTAATGCGTTTCACAATCTGAATCTATTGTTTTCTTTTGTTCTTTGCCARAAAATACYAGYTAGGTGAACTAAGTTACTCGTCTTAGTTTTAYTGCATGGTGAAATGAAAACGACTCCACGCTTTCTCGACATTACTATAACTTTAAAGAATTCTATTACGTCTTAATTTAGATTGAGGCACTTCAAGCACAACTTCAAGCGCTCAGAGATATGGCTCAGGTATTATTCAAAGTCGAACAGCTAAAACAGTGTGTTATATTTGTTACTTATAATAATTTTTAAACTTTATTTTATATTTGTCATTCTATTCAGGGTGGAGGCGAAACAAATCCAGATCCCAAAACTACGAAAGCAGCGAAAAAAACCCAAGGTAACCTTGGATTTCTTTKAAAAAAACGTGCGCGCGTGAAATTTTGGCGGGAACGGYACCCTCGTACTTAGTCTTCCTCAACTACAAGCGTAATAGTCGCTAAAAGACAGTGCTAAGGTCTCTGTTGTTTGAATTGTTAACTTACCACGCATGTCACGTATTAATGTGCTCTAAACCATCCACCGATGACGTCATGTTTAGAGTTGTTACGTGACATGCTAGAATTAYGAGAGGCAATATTGGGCCAGTGGACTCAAGGATTGTACGCTTGGTTAGTGTGCCTCTCGAAATGCGAATTTTTCACGAATGAATAAACTAAATGCTTTTTAGATATTCTCCGTGTAACATAACCCTTTGTTTTCCATTTATTAGCCAGAAAAAAAGTTTTTTGTACACTTTATATCTAAAGAATTTGTTGATGAACAAGAATTATCGCTATTGATGTTGACTTTTTATTAATATTTTCATTTACAGATGAACCACCAGTAGATGTTGATAGGTAAATATTCTTCGTTTTCAAGTTATGTCACAGCGGCCATCTTGGAAGAGCTTTAAAGGCCGATTTAGACGAAACAATTTTTCCCTACAACTCTCGCATGCGACCTGCGTAAGTCATCCTTACAACGTGGCTACAACTGTCGTGAGGCTATTAAGCAATTGTTTAAAATCCCAACGACAGTTGTAGCCATGTCGTAAGGATGACTTACGCAGGTTGCATGCGATGGTTGTAAGCAAAAGTTGTGTCGTCTAAATCGGCCTTAACAAAAAATTTCTCATTAGTATCTATTGCTCATTCCTCCAACATGGCCGCCGGTCGTTTATCTTTTGAATTTCATGGGAATGGTTGAAAACGATCAGTTGTGTTTATGCACTGGTTTCCTAACGAACTAACTGTTCAATTTGCCATAGCAATTAAGTCTGTTGGTGTTTTCGCAGGATGTGTATTTTCTGTGGAGAGAAAAATCAGTCTTTCACGGAAGAAGTTCTCGATCTTCACTACTGGAAAAGTTGTCCGATGTTAAAACGATGTGATCATTGCTCGCAGGTGAAATTTTGTCTTTGTCTCTTGAATCGTCTGTGGTAGACTTCTGAACCTTTTACGTCACAATTTGATTTTCAATGCATTGTGGGATCAGTTTCTTGAGAAAACAAAAGAAATCCGCCATGTTTTGTCCCAAGCATATCGTACAATGCACTGCGTTTACGGTACATGACGTAAAAGCTTCAGCGGTCTAATGATTTTCTTTTCTTTCTTTTTTTTTTACTTCGGGGCCAGAACGTTGAATAAAGAAACAGTTGTGTAAAGTAGGTGAAATAACTTACTGACGATTCGGACGTTAATCCTTCGTCCTCTTTACTCTAACTGTTTCTTTAGAAACACCGACGCAGCTCACACTAGTTTACCGCTAGTTTCCACCATGTTGAATRAAGGTCGTATTATTTTGATTTTTTTTTAATTTCCAGGTCGTTGAAGTGTCCGGTTTCAACGAGCACCTCTTAACAGAATGTGACGCTAAGGATAAATTTAGTCAGTGTCCAAGATGTAAAGATGTCATGTTAACTGTGGATTTAGAAGAGCATATATCAGATAATAAATGTACAGGTTAGTACAACTAACATCTGCGCATGCGTGACCGTGACTGCTTGACCGTGACTGCGCATGCGTGACAACGTACATCCGAGAGCCTTTGCGGGATTTTCTCACGTACGAAAAATCGCCATCTTTGATTTCTAACCAATCWGAAACCAATGGCTCTCGGATGTACGTTGGCCTTCAAACCATTTTAACTCGTAAGGCCTCTAAGAAATTGCTGTTAGAGCAAACGTAGTTAAAAACCATTAAATAAAACCAATCTAAATACTAGCAAAAAGCAGATCGTCTCATGTGGATTCATCTTGATTGCGTTCTGGTTCATTGATACTGACATATAGTCTCTAAATAGCCGCCACTTGTTAATATTTAGTTTGGCTTTATTTCATGGTTTTCCTGCGTTTGCCCTATTCAGAATATTAGGCAGTAGAGAAAAATAACTTTAAAAACGCTTGGAAAAAATTATGAGGTTTCAAGTATATCTGGCTTTGTGTTAAGCKGCCTTATACGTTTCTCTAACGTTTACATAGCTCCGAAAGGCAGTAAAGATGCTCAGAGGTGTCCGTTATGTAGAACTGTAATAGGAGACGGTGAAGAAGCCTGGTACAGCCACCTTATGGATAACTGTAAGCCTAACAAACTCCGTCTACAGCAGCAACAAGGTATGAATTAGTGTACATGTACAAAATTGACAACACGTGGTCAATGACCTCGTCCTAACCTTTCTTTTAGTGGTGATGGGGTTTTGAATTTGTTTATCGTTTTTAACCTCCACAGCTAGTAAAGCACCGAGTAGAGCCAGTGTCCGAAGTAATCGAGGAAGAGGAGGCAAGGCCACACCCTCTACAAGGGGTGCTGCAAGAGGTCGAAAGGGGAACTTGCCTAGATGATCGTGTTCTATGATTTTACAAAGAACTTATCCAAAATCAGACTGTTTGATTAGCTTGGTTTTCGAGTTATCGCTTTAAATTAACAACGYTCAGCGACCCCATTTTGTGCAAAGCATAGTTGTAGTTCTCGAACTTCTTCATGCCCGCTAAAAGCTGACTCGCGTCGCCGTCTCCAGTCGTCTCTCGCGCCTTTTTTCTAGTGTCTCAAAAAGCTTCTTTCCTCCTTCCCTTGATGCTTTTCGCGCGTGAGATAGAGGAGAACGACTGGGGACGAGTGAGCGCTAAAGGTCATTTAAGGCTGTCTTACTTTTCTTTGCAAAAATAGAAATAGCTGTGCCGTTTCTAAAACAATAAAAAAAAATTAACAAACGCAAAAGCTTTTTAAGGAAAGTTTTGGGCTATAAAAAGTGCCAATACTTCAACTCCCATCATGCTTTGTTGCAACCTCGTTCCCAGGCCCTTTATCCCAGCGAAGAGATAAAGGGCCTGGGAACGAGGTTGGCTTTGTTGAACAAAATGGCGTCGCTGCACATTACYTATTCAATGAAAAAATATAAAACTATAACATTTTGATATATATGGATTTTTTGGCGCTAAAAGTCACTGAATACGACGTGAACGACTGGAATGAGCTCATTAAACCCGTGAAACGAAACTCGACTATTAAAGCGTGATAGTCAAATAGACACAAAAGAAAACAATKCCATTGTACCTATTTCACGGGTTTTTTGACTTCACTCCATTTTCAGTGAAGGTATTTCGCTATGGTGGACAGCAACCTTGAGCTTTSTATATCTTGTATTATTTTGTCCCGTAATACGGAATCCGACAAAGTTTTGGCTCTTGAATCCCGAATCTGCGACATTGCAAACGGAATCCGATAAAACAAGACGAATCCGGAATCGAAATTAATAACTTCCTAAACAAACGGTAACCTACGATCGATAAGCTTTGTATTCTGAATCCAATATGGCGGAATAGAAACCTTGCGAAATGTTTAATGGAATCCGGAATCAAACAACTCTCCGGACTCCGTGCCACSGGGCTAATTATTCAACCAATGTATTGCTAAGCGAAAACTAATGTATTATTTGGTATCTTTGTATATTAAAAAGTGTGGAATTTTTGTACAACTCTCAGTATTATATTACTCTTCGTTACGAACTTGGTCAACGTAAAAAGCACGAGTCATTAAAACGGTTTGGTTTGGTTTGGATTTGCCAAAACCGACCCTCCCAGAAAGCCTTGCCCATTCGTAAGAAAATATCAAGTGGTTAGGGAGGGGGTGTTGTGGGGTACTGTGAGGCAGTTCAAAAGAGGTTTCCCATGTTACAATAGTTGAATAATTTGTATCTTGTTTGTTGCGCAAAGTAGTTACAGTTATAAACATTTAACATAGCAAAGTACGACTGAAAGAAAACCACAAAGAAAACGTCAAAACAGGAACGACTCCATCGACAAACAATAACGACAAAACAGAAAAAATATGCAACAAGAGATATCTAAAAATACATTTCTCAGTGTTTTTATCTACACAATGTCTCGCTAAATACATATAAAAACATCCATCTCCTGATATCATCACTCCTAAATCATCATTCCCAGGAATCTTTACGTCTAAATAACAGAATCCTTTGCGCGTAATTCCCAGAATTCTTTGCGCATAATTCCCAGAATTCTTTGCGCATAATTCCCAGAATTCTTTGCGCATAATTCCCAGAATCCTTTGCGCATAATTCCCAGAATTCATCGCACGATTCCCATGAATCTTTTCGCGTCAATCCCAGGATTCTTTCCGTCGTGTTTTTCAGAGACAACTTGAACACGTATACTTTAAAGTGATGTGCAAATCTACACATATCACCGCAGTAGTTTCTTCACGTATATATCAGCCAGTTTGAATAACTTTTGATCCGGAGCTTCACTGAAGGCAAGGGCTTTGGTCGGAGTCTTCTTACCCGGGCTCGGACTTGCTCGGTCACTTAGAGGTGAGGGGGGCATGCCACGCCTTACAAAGTGGCGATTTAAACCGCCAAGAAAGTGTCCCTAAAAAAAAGAATCATGTAATATCATACTCAGATTCGACCAACATTTCTTTATGTCATACTCAACCTCAACCAATAATTCTTCATATCGACTCAGCGTCTACCACACAGCCAAACACACAGCCTCGAACAATAACTCCTCATATCATACACATTCTCAGCGTCAACCAATAATTCTTCAAATCATACTCAGGGTGAACCAATAATTCTTCATATCACACTCAGCCTCAACCAATAATTCTTCATATCACACTCAGCGTCAACCAATAATTCTTCATATCACACTCAGCGTCAACCAATAATTCTTCATATCACACTCAGCGTCAACCAATAATTCTTCATATCACACTCAGCGTCAACCAATAATTCTTCATATCACACTCAGCGTCAACCAATAATTCTTCATATCACACTCAGCGTCAACCAATAATTCTTCATATCACACTCAGCGTCAACCAATAATTCTTCATATCACACTCAGCGTCAACCAATAATTCTTCATATCACACTCAGCGTCAACCAATAATTCTTCATATCACACTCAGCGTCAACCAATAATTCTTCATATCACACTCAGCGTCAACCAATAATTCTTCATATCACACTCAGCGTCAACCAATAATTCTTCATATCACACTCAGCGTCAACCAATAATTCTTCATATCACACTCAGCGTCAACCAATAATTCTTCATATCACACTCAGCGTCAACCAATAATTCTTCATATCACACTCAGCGTCAACCAATAATTCTTCATATCACACTCAGCGTCAACCAATAATTCTTCATATCACACTCAGCGTCAACCAATAATTCTTCATATCACACTCAGCGTCAACCAATAATTCTTCATATCACACTCAGCGTCAACCAATAATTCTTCATATCACACTCAGCGTCAACCAAT